ACCAACGTCGTAATGTGCCCAGCGGGATCAAACAACTTTCAGTTTTTTTTTCTTATTCGACTTCCCGGGGGACTACCATCGGGCGAACACAACCATCGGTCGTCACCATCCTGACCGGCCCCCTCTCCCACGGAAGGTTGACGGTTGACTGTGTCCCTTTAAAGGGACACTGACAGGGTATTTATGCTGATCAAGGTTTTTGTCTGTACATGACATATGAGAGACCAACTACCCAGAACACAATTTAAGGCTCGAAATTCGTTTTCTTTCTGCCCGAAAACTGCGGATCGAGAACTGGCCGTTTTGAGTTGCACTTACTCTCTTTTCCGTTGTCATGAGCTGTTTTCTATGGTTTAGACACAACCACCAAAGATATTCAGAGTCGCGGGTTATCGAAGACACACACTCAATAATAAAAATGAACTGAAAATTTTGTGGCTTCTAAAACGTTGCAAATACGTTGATTGAAAAAAGAAGTTGCACAGCCACGTGACTTCCAGTAACTTTCCCCCCCTCTATATTTCTTTTTCCACCCCCAGTTCAGTTTTGGTTTCAAGCAGTTGTGGATTCTGACTTTATTAAAATATATGGGCCACTGTAGCAAAATACTTATTGGGTAGTCTTCCGACACCATAAAAAATCGCCTGGCAAAAAATCAAAAAAAAAAAATTGGGGGGGCTGTCAGCTTTTTTCTGAGCCCTTCTTTAGTGTTGAAGAATGTCACAAGCACACCATTTATGCGAGAATCTTTGCAAGCATAACCGGTGAAGAATGTTGCATGCATACTATCTACGCAACATCCTTCGCGAGTGTGACCGGCAAAAGGGACTGATTGCCGGAGCGGATGCCACAAACAAGTAGAAGAAACAAAAAGTGCTGTCTGATTGTATTTTCACTGATTTCTATGACAATTGCTGGGTCGCGTTTTCCCGCTCCACGAATGCGGTCACTGGCGACCATCTTTTTGGTAGAGTTATATCACCTCTAGCCAAGGTACAGCTGCTGCAGCCACTATCATCCATCGATGGCAGACAGCGTTGTGGCAGTTGTGGTGGCAGGCTGCCATCAAAATAGCGTGGGTGATATTTCGTACTTGATTGAAATTGTTTGACGAAACATATTCTTGAAACCCAGCGTGAACAGTAGCCCGATCTTTGAGGACCCGGAGAAAGTTTTACGAGATCGCAGCACCGGGGAAAAGCAGCACAGCACGCATTGAAGGTCGCATCGAAAGAAGCATCGAAAGCAAACGCCGGTAAGGAGTCTGCTTTCGATGCGAGCTGCGCTGCTTTCCCCTGGTGCTGCGCGATCGTAGAACTTTCGCAGAGTCCTCAAAGATGAGGCTATTGTTCACGCCGGGTTTCAAGAATCTGCTTCATTGAACAACTTCAATCAAGCACGAAATATCGCCCAAGGTACAGTGTACTAGACTAGATCTACGGCTATTTTATGGCAGCCTGCCGCCATTGCGCTGTCCGCCATATTACTATGATGGCTAGAGGTTATATAACTCTACCAAAAAAATGGCCGACCGTGGCCACATTCCCGTCCATAGGCGGAGCTGGTCAAACGCAACTCGAACAATAGCCTCACACATGACTTCACGCATGTCTTCTCTAGTTATTCGTACAATATAAGTGTCACGGGTTTAAAAGAATGTGCAGAACTACAGTAGAATACCATGCATCCGCCCCCATTCCATATTAAGCGCCCATTTACCAAATATTTAAGATCTGAGAAAATACGCACAGTACATTTGTATGTAAAATTGACGACCGGACAAGCGCTCATCCCCCATTTTTTTGCGATTATCTTTAAAGTTTGAGTGGGTGCTTGCCCGGTATTTTACGGTAGATGATCTATTTCTTCGACGAAGGTTTTTTGCACTATCACTGCTTCACAAATTCTATTGCCATTTCCAACCAAATTCACCAAATATCACGCCATCTCCACACGTTCCCTATTGTATGAGTCATCAATGTAATGTAGTGCGCCACAAAACTAAAGCGGTAAACCCATCTGCTTTATTTTTTTTTTTTTCCGCATGCAGCTAAGGACCGAAACGACCTCCCCCACAGCATTGTTTCTTTATCAAACCCAATTCACTTGAAAGAGAAGCTGAGTGAAACCATGCTCCTGGCTGCTTCATAGTCAAACAAAAAACAAAAAGGTTTTTACAGTGTCTTATTGATTTCTAGTTTAATTTTATCTGTCCATGTATACCTTCTTATGCCATTTCATTTTTAATGTTTGTGTTTACATTTTTTTTTTAAGTCATGAGCCATTCCACTTTCAAGGTAGGGTTGTGCGAATAGTGGATTTTGATTTCGAATCGAATTCGAAGCGAATAGTGATTTTGGCCGAATATTTTCGAATCGAATATCGAATACTTGCTGTTCAAAAATCTTGGCCGCAAAGTTGCATGCAAAATAATCATTGCAGACGTGGAATTATTAAGTGGCCTGATTTGTGAGAATGAGAGCTAAATAATTCATGTATGAGTTATTTATTGGAATACAGGGCGCCAAAATGGGCAAAGATGGCGCAGGCGCTGCTGGACCTCATTGGTCTTTTTTTTTTTTTTTTGCCCGTTTTTAAACAAAGTTGATGAAATGACTACGAGGAATATATTTGAGAGTTTCCACCATAATATTTGTACCATTTTGCCGAACGTGCGAGCATATTTTTGAACTTAGAAAATGTTTCTTACGTATTTTTAAACAGTAAACAAACACGCGACTCGAGGTTGCCAACACTTCGAAAAGCACGAATATTACAACTGCTCTCGAATCGAATATCGAAATATTCGAAACTACTATTCGGAAATTCGAATATTCGCACAACACTACCACTTTGTGAAGGTAGATGACCAGCGAAGCTGTTTAGCACATGACACAGAATTTTGAACAAAGGTACAAACACATTTATGCATGATCTTCATTGATGGTGTTCGCCGCCCGCCACCGCCGCTGACATTCCCGTTGCCGTTCCCGTCGTTGCTCTTCAGGAGTCCGGACTATACACGGCCTCCCCATTACGACGAGAGAAGTAAAATTGAAAATGGAGAACGGCAACTTGTCTTTCTGGTTTTTTATATACATTCGCGTGGACGACTTTCGCCGCCCCAAGAAGCCGGAAGAAACTAGACACGCGCGACGGGACTGCACCCTGGGAGAGTAGAAGGAAACTAGGCCCGCAAGCGCTTGGAACAACGACAAAGAGAGGGCGCTGCGAGTTTTTGTTGACGCACATGAAAAATCGACGGAACCCTAGCCATAAACAGCTTCGCTGTAATAAAGAGTGTTTTTCCTCTTGCAATAGCCTCCCTGAGGGGGTTTTAAAGGTTAAGTGAAATAAAGAAATAAGATGCCGACAATGTCGTCCTGATGTAAAACAAACAAAAAGCTAAGAAAAAGAAAAAAAGAAAGGCATCTAGCGGAATGGTTAGAACGAATGGAGGTTGATGGGTTCATTTCAGCACATCTAATACAACCGCCAAGTGATATTGGAGGTGAGGAATGTTGTCGGCACGTTGTTAGGGCTGAATGAAAAGCAAGACAGAACTCCTGCATCGCCCTTGGTCAAGAGGGACTTCGGCACACATTACTCCACTCTGCACGACAATTGCAACACCACTAGATGAATGAGAAGATGGCTGGTCTTTGTGGAAAAGACAATAATTCCTTAAAACTTGAGTATGTGTGGACGTCAACTGAGTCTCCCGTAATGCTAAAGCTTTTGGATGGCTCACTAAGAGGCAAATACCATCAATATTGCGTAGGAGACCCCGACAGTTCCAATGCATGAAGCTAAGATGGCCCCGTAACGCAACTTAGTTAAAAATGTATTAAAAAGGGGAGTTTACACCAAGTGGACGCAAGCTGTGTTCCATGAGTTGGGGGCAGTGACACGTGGTGGTATTTTTCTTTTGTTCCCCTGAGCAGGAGAAAGCTTTGTGCCCCCCTTGACAGGTGGAGAAGGTTCTGTTGAATCGACAAATACCTCCAGGGTCTCCTCCTCCCGCTGGGAAGTGGAAGGCATGCTTCGGTTGACAACATTTCTTCTCTATTGTTAAAAAATAAAAAAATAAAGCACTTGTGTTCTCAACAAAGAGCCCTGGAAAAACATGTGCTTACGTTTATGTCAATTGTAGCGGAGCTTTCTTTTCTGCCTCACTCCCCCCTTAAGTCCCATGTTTTACTCCCAAGGATTACGGTCACCCTACCCTCGCCGCCAAAGAAGGCAGAAAACGAAAATGGGAAAGAAAAAGAAGTGGAAGATAACAGGGGAGAGTAGAAGAGGGGACTGACCGAATCCATCCCGGCCTAAGCCTTACCAGGACACCCGCCTGCGAGACGTGGGGGCCAAAATGTAGCGTCGCCTCGCCCAGGTTGTCCTGAAGGGTCCAAACCTACCTCGGGCTCTGTTTGACTGCCGAAATGCCCTTTTCCCCGTACGCAGGCGTGCCACACAGAGCCGGGTGTGGGTGGGCGAACCCATGTGGCTCGGGGTTTGTGGTGATGCCACTTTCCAAACACCTACTGATGCAGGTGCCCCCTGCAGGATCTAAAGTCACCGAGACAATAAGAATGACAGCGAGTCTCTTTCGAATGCCCTGGCTTTTGTTGCCTTCCGTCGTACGTTGGCTGCATGTGCACGCTCTAAGCAAGGAGATGCCCAAGCATTACCGAAGGCAGGAAGCTGCTCAAGCAGCACAAATTTTGGCCAAGCATTGGCCAATGGCTGGCGATGGTCTTTTGGCCAACGGCCAAAGAGTGGCCGTTCAGCAGCCAATGCTTGGCCAATGGCTGATGGCCAGTGGCCAATCGCTAAAGAAAGGCCTGTCATCGGCCAATGGCTGGCCGTTGGCTAAAGGACCATTGCCAGCCATTGGCCGAAGATTGGCCAAATCTTTGCTGCTTGGGTGGAGGCGAGACAAGTGAAAGGCATTCTTTTTATCCTGTCAGTAAGTGAGGAAGCCGGATGCCGAAGGCTCTTACCCGTGCTGGTGGGCGAGAGCAGCATCGGCCGTCCGTAAGGGTCTGCGGCCGAGGCCTGCGGGGGTCCCTGCGTGGGGTGGTGCTGGATCGTCTGTGGCGTGTGCTGCAGGCCGCTCGGACCGCAGTCCAGGTCTCCATACTCATTCTTCACGTAGTGGCCCTCGCCGCCGCCGAACACGTCTGCACGGGATTTGGAGCCGTCGGGAAAACGGTTAGTACCATATATTATAGGACGCATTGCGCGGACCACGCACATTCCAAAGTTGCCGCGGTGCGGACTATGCGAGGATGTTTGTTCGAGACTGTCTGTCACGAGAGACGCAACGGATTGTAACTGTACACCAAATGTGGACGATGCCCCCGGTGCAGACAATCTAAGGAAGAACATTTTTCTCTAAACCCAAACTTTTCCTCCGCAGACTATGTACCGAGCACGGACAATAGTCTGGGAAATAGAGTAGTTGGCAGTGTGGACCCCGAGATTGCCATCGCGCAAGGCTTTCACCCAGCTTGTTCATTTGTATGGGGAGACCCTTAGCGGCAGGTCGCTGGTTCCATGCCCGCTTCTCACAGTGTCAACTTTTTTATCTCATCTGTTAACTCATTTTAGCAATGTCGCAGTATTAAAGGGGCGGTGCAATGATTTTAACACTGAACGAATGTGCAGCTTGTATTTTTTATATTCTTTACTTCGGCATAAGTAAGAGAAAAAGTGCCACCATACCCCAAAATACCTCTATTTCGCTGCGTAATCGTAAAATAAAAAACACTTTTTTTCCCAACCTGCGGCCACATGGTGGCCGCAAATGGAACCTGTGGTGTGACGTCATTCGGAGTGGTTTTTGTAAGTGATAGTGTTAGGCAACTGTAAGCTTGATTTAAGGTTAAGTTTAAAAAATCTTGTTGTTTAGGCATGCAGAAACGCTTCAAAAGCCTAATATTGCCTCTAAAAGGGTATGAATTATTTGTGGCGCCATCTACCGCAAGTCAACAAAACCTGCTGTCGCCGACATCCGTCAACGCCCGAGGCGCCTAAGGCGGCTACACGAGCAACCCGGACGTTTTGTCTTTCCCTCGCTCGACGAAGTGCGTTGGTCGTGGACCGTAGTATCGTTATTGTTCCTGGTGTCTCGACTTCGACTTCGACTGCCCGCCGCAAGCATCTTGCGCTCGACGTCGCTCAGGCCGTCCGCCAATGCCGCCATGTTGGTCGGGAATCGGCGGGAGAGCGGGAGAGCGGCGAGGCCTGGCGAGCCGGCGAGCGCTGGGGAAAAGGAAGCCAGAAGAACCCAACCGGAAACCAACGCCACTCCGAATGACGTCACAGGCGAAGCTGGTGCCGCTTCAATGTTGAGTTGAGGCGTGCCAGAGATACCAATTTCTTTTATTTTTTTTAATGAAAACTAGGGCAAGCAGGAAAGAATAGTTTTCGGTCCTTCGTCTTATATGTAGCCGAGATCAATTCCCGCAATTAGCCAAAGTCCGCAGATTGTTGCACCGCCCCTTTAAGAGAAATGGCCATCAACCAACGCTGCTCTGCAGTGGCACTCATTGCCTAAAGGCAGATAGCCCCTTCAGGGAACAAGTCCGCATCACACAGTCCTTAGTAAGTATTTCTCGAATGCATATGCCTGAAGCCTTCATCAGATTGGGGTGGTGGCTTACACCACCTAGATCCACTAAATGTTCCCAGGGTGCCAAAACTCCCAAGCTTGGCTTCAGAACCAAGCTGCGGCGCAGCAGTCGCGATCCCCAACGTGGCATTGCCCTGTGCAATCAAAGTGAAGCACGTACAGTGTAGCATTCATTCTCGTGCGAGCTCATCAATCCACGTTCCTGGCCTGTGGCAACACTAATTTGTTTTTATTAAAGTTCTTTCCTTCGTTCTGAGTGGTGCGCTACTTGCCTCCTCGCTGTCTCGTCTTTCGCTCGCCTTGAAACACATCGAAGTCGAGTGTTAGGCTCAGCGTCTGAAGCCTGGGGATCGAACCGCAGCACCAACGCAGTCGGAGCGAGGAAACGAGCCGGCAAACTTTCTTTGGCAAACTAAATTAATGGCTAGTTGATATTTAAAAAAAAAAAAAAAACTACCGAAAGTTGACGCACCTTCCGTTCGAACCAAAATCGTTGATGCCCAGAGCTCCCACCCGTGCGTACACCCAGCCGTAGCCGTGGTAATGTGGAAACATTCTATATAGAGTATAGACCACTTACAACGTAACCGCTTATAGTGCAGGACCGGGTATAACGCGGCTTTTTAAAACAACCGGTTCGCCTCCCATAGAACTCCATGTAATTACATACCGCTTAAAATGAAGGCGCGCGAAGGGAAATACCGGTTATAGTGAGGTTTCTGGAACAGCCCACCGACCGCGCCGACTGCGGCACAGCGAGCATGCTTCCCTGTGCGACACTAGATAAAGGCACAAGCCGCAAGCGGCACTCGCGGGGCAAGGAGGTTGCTCGAAGAGGCGGGGAGAAGTGAAGAGAGAGGCTTCAGTTGCCATAGCGACAAAGGGACGCACGCAAGTGTCGTTCACGTGCGTGCATCCCTCTGCTGCGCTGGAAACAACCGCAATGACAGACCAATCGCAGGTTGAAAAGTGTTTGCGCGCGTTGCATGCCGGTCGCGGGGCGACTTCTTCTATCCGCAAACATGGCGTCGGTTGTGATCGTTGACGTAGACGGCGTGGTGGAAGCTTATCGTTCCGCGTAAAAGCGCTATCCTTGACTGTGACTTTTCGTTGTGCTTTGATAACCCAGCACGTACTAGAAGGGAAGATCCACCTACTCGTGCGGCGATGTCATGGCGGCACTCTCAAGACGGCAGAGACGCCCGTGTCATTGTGTTTGTTTACTTCGACTACAGTGGTGCTCTCTAAGCATTTGCGTTTTCGAACATCGCCCGGATTTCTTATTTGGAGCATTTCATGCCTGTGCTCAAGTTGAAGGTATTACTGGCGCGCTTTGTATAAAGGATGCAAATTTTCACGCGTTTTCATCGCCGGAGAAAACCGACTACTAGGGTTAGCAATCCCGAACGCTCGCAACGTCCGTCCGCAACCCGCGACGTCGTTGAAAGGCTGTGCCAGGCAAAAGTCGCTCATTTCTTTTAAAATGTGTGACACATTTGAGAGAGAAGTGTACTAGTCTGGTAAATTAAAGACTTTCCTCAAACTAAGCTTTATTATTCATCTAACATAAAATAAATTTTTTTACAAAGGTAAGTTGTCTGATGGCATGTAATTTGGCCTGAAAAATTGATGTTTTGGTTATAGCGCGGTACCGCTTATAGTGTGGATTTCCACAACTCCCGCGACATACGTTATATGCGGTCTACACTGCACATGTTTTTTTTTGTTGTTTTAGGCTGACCCACAAAATGGCCGACCGATAACTTCCGCCACGGGCTAAGCCAGCCAATCGGAACTAGATTCTGTGGGGTTGACTTCCGTTAAGCGGACTGAATGAAATTTGGTACTCTGGGAACATTCACTGACTTCAGTGCCACCTAGACAGAGTTCTTAGCATAAACTGTTGACCTGTACCCAACACACAACAGATTAGGGTCAAGCTTTTTTCAATGCAATAGTGATAAAAAAACATGATTCCTGTGAAGGAACAGAGTTGTTTATCCCGAGAGAGTATGGGGAATGGGCGGAGCTTGGGGCCCGTTAAATCTAGGTAGAATAAGCCAACTCGCACAAGACGGAGATTCGTTGTTGTCAAGCTACTTCATTCTAAGCGAGCCAACTTAAATTTGCAATTACCAGGGGCGTTTTGAAAAAATTTTTTCATACATCGGAACTTTGTTATGCCCGTAAATTATCAATGTAATCAATTTTTTCGCTCATTCTTCATTGATTTCCAATAACTGAACTTAACAACCAGCTCCTTTTCTTTTTGTTTCCAAACGAAAAGAGATGCTTTTCCAGGCAAGAGAGGGTCGGACAATTCAGGAGACGGCTTCGCATTTCCTCTGAAGCTAACAAAGTTTGCGGCGTTGAATTGTGTTGGCGGAAACGATACTCAGAAGACATTTTTGAGACAAATAAAGGAGTGAAAGATTATATTTTTGGATATTGTTACAAGCAAGCAAGTTTGAGCTGACGATTGCACATAAAAAGCCAAAGACGCTGACATTAACGAGAAATCTTTCATCGCAATGACACGTCATTCCAGTCTCCACACTGTGTGCGTGGAGGATGCAACCTCCACACAAAATGGTGGAGGTTGCATCTGGTTGCCAGATTCCCAGCTGTGGTTGCTAGACTGTCCACATGTTCAAAGGAATGCCAAACTCTCACAGCGTAAACGGCCCTGTGACCGAAGGGAAAGCACCACTACCTGGTGGAGCAAGGAAGAAACATAATGGTGTGCCTTTTCTGCTGGGCACCAGAGCATTTGGAACGGCTTGGAGGAAGCTTTGCACACAGGCAATCCCGGAAGCCATGATGGCAACTGAATCTTTCGATTACGTAACAAGAGATGACAACACTCGGTCAAATGCACAACAATAAGGTTAGCTAGGCAGTCTCTCATATTGGTAACAAACGATACAAAAGGTGGGATAAATTTGCGCTGTCGTGAAAATCAGACAGGAACATTTCTATAAACGGGAACCTTCAAACAGTCGGTGACAGGCGAAGAATTCAGGGGAAACTTCTGCCACCTCTTTCCACTTTAGCAGAGCGATCGCAGGAAAGGAAGTCGCCTCCTTTCGAGCGTTCGCTTCGCCAAAGTAGAAAGCTGTAGGAGGAGTTTCCACCAAACTCTTAACCTGTCACTAACTACAGCTGCGAGGAAAATTGTGAGGTGCGGACTACCACACTGAAGTAGAAACTGTTGTAAGTTGGTGGCAGAACCTCGGTAGACCTTTTTGTCAATAATGCAGTGTGAAGATTCCTTCAGCAGCCTCGAGCACCATTTTAGCTAAACACAATTCCAACACAGTACCAAGATGGGAATAGCCGAAGACATGAATTGCATCTAGAGTAGTACAAATATGCGCTGTTATACCCCTTTCTCAATGGCTCGCTACGAAAGGCATACCCAAATGATGCATTGATATTTATAGGCATCAGGCTTTGTTGAAGTTTGGGTAGATTTAACGTCGAGTAAGTCTAACAAGGAACTATGAAACGAATTCAATAGTGTATTGGTCATTAGAGCCCACAAATCTACACAAGCACATAACGACGGCTTCACAAATGGCCACCGTTAAACTTAGCAGTCTGTTGTAGCATCTTAAAAGTAATGTTTTACGAAACTACTCCTGAACGTTTGCATTTTCCTACATCACAAGCCTGCCACTCTGGAAGTTGACCAACGTTCAACAGTTTTGCAAAGACCTTGGTTTGTCAAAGTTATCAAAGCATCCGAATGTGATAGAAATGTAATGTAATCTTTATTTGCTCAGGAGAGCCGCGGCCTGGCAGAAAGGTACCAAGGAGGCCCGCGGTGCCACGTCTAGTGATGGTGATTATGGGATGATGTATATACAAGATGAAAGTGAAGCTAATAAATAATAAATATAGATATTCATTTTAGCGGAAAGGCAAGTCGCTTGTACCGTGAAGGCCTTCATGTGTGTGTATGTGACAAGTGCTTACCTGAATGTTGTAAGGTGAGGCCCGACAGGTCTGTGGAAAGGGGAAAAAAAATGACAGCGATAAAAAGAGCAGGAGTTAATCTCTGTTTGAGGAGCTGATAACAGAAACCCGAAATCAGCATCAGTGTGCACCTTTCCATACCAGAGTTGCACATGTCGGCAAAAACTTTTATCGAGCACCATAAAATTCCTGAAAGAGATAGATGCAAGCACGAGTCGAACGGCTAAAAACAAAAGTTCCTTCCCCCCTTGGACAGCGAGCATTTCTTCTCGGTTAGGCGCCTGTTTTCTCTCATCCCTTTGAAACGTAAGGTTTTCGTGAGTCGAACTTTCGAACCGGACAAAGCGCGCGAGAATGAAGGCCGATTGCCGGGCGATTACAAACCAACCAAACAATCGAACCTCGCGGTGCATAGGAGGCAGTTGCGTTTCAGTGCTAAGAGAAACATCAAGGAGGATTCACGCCACGAGAGATAGTTCAAACGAAGACAAAGAAAGGGTCTGCTGCGTACCGATCCCAGGCGACACAACCCGCTCGTAGTGGTAAGGATTGACACACACACTGTCGCACTTGAGGTCGAACGCGTACTGGCAGTACTTGACGTGCTTCAGCTCGTTCTTGTGCAGGTCGGGCCACCTCCAGATCCTGGCATAAATAACGTGCGGGAAGCCTTTCCTCCCCGCGACCTGCACCGAGGGAAAGAGCACTCGTCGCTCTCGTCATGCAAAAGAAAGCAGCGCTGCGTGGTCGTGCGAACCTACCTGAAGCCTGCCGTCCAAAGTTCGCTGAATGGTCACACACTTGCTGGGATGCGCACCGTTCGTTGTGATCGCCGTGATCAGACTGTCCAGCTCGTCCCGCTTTTCCTTCAGCTTCTTCACCAGGCTCTCGATGGCTCGCTTGGCGAAGCTCTCCGACTCACCGCCCTGCCTGTGACACATCAAACTATGCACGATGCTGAGGCAGGCATCCGCCGACGTCGGCGCGGCCGTGGAAATTGTTGCCATCACGGCGCCGCGGCCGGGATCGGGAGAGAAAGGATCGATGATCTCTCGTCGGCGAAAGCGTCCCAGATCCGCGCTAATCCGCGAGGGGCTCGCAGGAGCTGCACGCGCGATACAGTCAATACAGTGCCATCGACGAACGACCGCGAACAACGCCAAGAATCAACGTTTGTAACGACCCCACAGCGGCCGCTTCCCTTCAACCAAACGCACAACACACACAGAGAGCAGCCAGAGCTACACAGTAGCCACAAACGACACTTTTGAAGTGACGAGACGAACGAGATTCTGCGAGACGAGACTGACATACCAGTTCTTGTTCTGGCCGCAAGGCCGCAAGCGCGGCGAGCGTTGTTTGCGATTTCCCGTTGCTCGGCGTAGAAGTTCGCTACCTTCGAAAGCATGTTCTTCTTGACAGAATTTTCTGGTTTGCCAATTTTTCAATCCCCCTGTAAATTTGTCAATGCTTTTAGAAGTGGGTAAGGAGATATCCAAGACACCATATCAAAGACTCAAAGTATAACCAAATAGTTTAAACGCTAACAGTAGAAGTGGTAGAAGTAGAAGAATAGGCTCTAGTTTCAGTTTCGAAACAATTCTTTGTTTACACCTCACATGATGGAATAAATTACGGTATACTCTACGGAAAACTGTACACTTTCTGAATTAAATAAAATATCGCCTTTTCAAACGTCTGTATCTGAAGTTTTTTTTTTTTCGACTTCGTATGCTTTAGTTATGTTCAAATGTTCGTAGTAAGAGCTGCGGCACTTTATTTTGCGCACTTTTTTTCTTTCAGAACGATCTTGTATGTGTTTATTTAGAACTGTGGTCAAAAGCCGTACTACTTTGATGCCTTGATCAATTTTCGGAAGTTGAATCGCAGGGCGGCACAGCGTCCAACGGCTGGCCACCTACGTTGGAAGCGTTTGGCCTCACTCCCCTTGCTCTCTCTCTCTCTCCGCTTCGGTTTTTTCATAGCGTTATCGTGTTCGTTGTATTTGCTGGATAATTCCTGAAATTATCCCATCAACTTTATTACCGCAGTGTAGACGATCTGCCTTTTTTCCTCCAAATGTCGACAGTCACTGTAAGTGGCAAAGAAGACGTGACGATGGTTAACGCACCAACAAAGACAAAAGATGGACACGGTAAGCCGCCTTTACACGTTCACTCGCCGCGCCGGTCCAGCATAAACCGTAATCTACTAGAAATCACTCGCGTTATAACGTTCGATTACGAAGTTAGGTGCACAACAGAATCCCACGACAACCTGCACTCGAATGTGCCTCAAGACCGAGCATTGCCGGCGTTAGGCCTAACGCAACGCTTCGAATTTTTGCCTTATAATTTGACGGGCACGCGTTTCGTTTGTCTAACCAGCGTTCTTGCGCGTTGTTTGGACGTTGTTGCGTCGCGAGTACTTCCACCCTGTGAAGAGTTTACAACTGAGTCTTTAGCGCCTGCTTTACTTGCTTTGATTTGGTTTTGCTTGTATTTTTTTTTTTTTTTTTTTGCTGGGATTGAGCGGTTTATTGTAAAAATCGTACCGGATCGCGGGTCTTTTTTTAAGCAGCCTATCGAATTTCCTGAGCCAGAGCTGCCGACAGTCCGAACTAGTGATATTTTGCAGCGGAGATAACATTAATAAAAGAAAGCAGCAGGCAAAAGAAAAAGCTTTCACGCGCGAGGCGACTGACTGGCGCCCATCTGCCTGCGTCGTCGGACAGTCTGCCGATGAGCAAACTCCTCTAATGCAAAAACTGCTTTCAGATGCTGGTCATTGGTTCCGTACTTATTGATGTTCGATCGTGCAATGGACCGTGTTCCACTGTTCCTGGTAGCGTAGGTCTACGGCTGCGATTTTCCTGCGCGCAGAAAGTCCTTTTAAAACGTCCCGAAACGCCGGCAATACCTTTATTGCAAGCATTTAATTTTTTTTAGGCATGAAATGTTTTTAACGCTGTCCCCCCCCCCCCTCCCCTTTTACACAGAAACACACACACACATTTTGTCTGTCCATGAATTTTCTGCTAAATTTAGCAGGGAAAGGGCCATCACATGAACTCTTTATCTTGGGGAAATTAGTGGCATGTGACCTATACGTCAACTCAGTTTCCCCGTTAAATTTACCAGGATGATATGTCACGTGAAACGCCAATCCCCTATAATGCATTTCATCCATTAAAGGGCAACTCCAGTCTACTTTCGATTTGTCAGCATCCCTGAATTGCAAGGTGTAATTTTTTTCTCGTTAATGCGCATAGTTTTAAAGATATTGACGCCTCAAAGTTTTGTTTGGGGCGCTGCTAACAAAACTAAAACTAGCCGCTCGAGGTCCCGGCAACACTGGAAATCAGCCGCTATGTGAACGTGACGTCAGGATCGTTCTCGTTGAACGAGTACGCAGGCCAAGCGGCACCTACCTCTGTTGCGCTAGCCGTCTAAAGATAGGATGAAAGCTGATTTTGTTTTAATTCTGTATATGTGGTAGTTATCCAGCATATGTAGCAAGAGTTACTGCGTATACCCAAAAGCTAGCGACTGGAAAACCCGTGAACTCGTATGGCACCGTACGGCACCATACTCGGCAGCCACCGCCGTTCGTGCGCTATGCCGTACTCTGCACTTGTATACCCAAAAGCTAGCGACTGGAAAACGAGTCAACTCGTTCGGTGCCATACTTGGCGGCTGCCGCAGTGTGTGTGGTCTTCCGTACTCGTCGCTACGCTGTGCTGCCAGTGACGTACAGTACTGGGGGCCCTCTCGCTTTTGCGCTGCGGGTCAGTCCCAGACACGAAGCTCTGAGGCTCTCTGGCGCGGGCCGCGGTGCCCGAACACACATGTGCTGAACTGTACAAGCCTTTTTTTTTTTTGGGTGCGTAAAAGCCGAAGTGCAAAGTCCACTCGTCGAACTGCGTTCATCCACACTTTCTTCAATTTCCGGTGCGTTGGAAACTTGTGAAAAAGCACCTCCGTGTGGCGCGGCGGGTTGTTTGAGCAGCCCACAGCGCTACAAGTTGCACTCGGCATCTTTCGAGAAACAGCTGAGCAGTCTTGGGCGCACCGAGTCGCTCGCTAAAATATCTTGGAGTCCTCACAAGCAAATAAACAGAAGGTTATACCGAAGCTATACGGGCTACAGATAAAAGCAACGACTAAACACGCCAATCGAAAGCCAAAGTAGCAGTGGTAGCGGCTCAAACAAGCGCACTCCGCGCAACGCCCGGACCGTAGGTAAAAAAGAATGATACTGACGTCACGGCCCGATGCTGCTTTAGCGATCGGCAACCCCCAGGCCGCCCACTAAGGAGCAGCGGCTCGCTGCGGGTCGCATTTTTATTATCGGCATTAGTTGAGAATGAGGCGTCCCACGGACGTGATATTTTGGCTGGGGTCGTATTTTGTGTCACTACAGGGATACTAGTAATTTATTTCATTTTGAATTTTGATCGGGGTTGCCCTTTAAGTAAAAATCGCTGCCAATATTTTTTTTTTTTTTGACTGTGCATTTGTTTGTAGTGGAAGGACTGATTTTAGCTTATTTATTTGTGTGCCCCAGAAAACCACTTTACAGTGCATTCTCTTGAGGCTGATTGCTCGTGGATTACCCTGCGAAAGTTTTAAGTTGGCGATTCCCGCGTCAGCTGCAGTCATATCTGTCCATGTCTGTTCGAATTATGTGGGTGGGTGATATGTATGGCGACAAAGCGGGTGGCTTTGTCTTTGATTCTTGAAATTCAGCGGCCAATCAGATCAAAAGCGGCTACGCTAAGCGGTATATTTTTAAAATAACTGGACAGCTCTTGAACTGTGTCGAGTAAGCTGATCCGTTTACCTCAGATCCCCGCTTCTTGCAACAAAATGCAAAGGGCACGCATGCAGATAGTAAAGTCTGACGTAGTACACAAAGTTTGTTTGAGCCTCTTTTATTGCAACATTGTTTTTTCTATGTTCTGCTTGCAATGTTACTGATTTTTTATACGTGTGTCTACGAGCACGGCTGGGCAAGATAATTCAATAATGATTCCGAGTACCCGCACAAATTGCCTCGCTAAATTTGGTGGGAAAATTGACACCATGTGATCTATGCGTCCTCCAGTTTCCCTGCTCATTGTACCTAGAAAGTCAGTTAAATGCAGGCTTTTTTTTTTTTTTCTTCTCGTAAATGATGGTTTTGGAGAAACTCGTTTCAAACTAATAAACTAAATCAAAATGATTCTGCCTTAAATACTGCATTTCATGCTTTATAGAGCTTTGAAGATAAAAGTAGCTGCCAATTTTTAGGTCACAGTTACAACCGCTCGTTCATAATTTATTTTGGCGTGCCGCCTGGAGCAGAAACTAATCGGCGTGCTCACTCCTGCAGGAGCCCAAGAGTCCAATGGGAAAGTGGAGGACGGGGATGAGAACAACGCCGGGGACGCCAAGACGAGTGGCAAGCGCAAGGCCTCCGGGCAGGGCACCCCCCGCAAGAAGCAGAAGAAGAACAGCCCAATGACGCCCAAGATGGTGCAGCCCAAGAACGCGCTGATGCAGCTGAACGAGCTCAAGCCGGGCCTCAAGTACTCGGTGGAGTCGCAGGAGGGCCCCGCCCACCAGCCCAGCTTCGTGGTCTCAGTGGACGTGGACGGCCAGACCTTCACGGGCCGGGGCCAGTCCAAGCAGCTGGCCAAGCACGCGGCCGCCCAGGCGGCCCTCAAGTCGTTCGTCCAGTTCCGCAACATGCCGGAGGCCTTCTGGGCCATGAGCCGGAAGGTGACCAGCGCTGACTTCACCAGCGACGAGGTGGAGCAAGAGGAGGGCACGGGCATCTTCAGCAAGTTCTCTTCGGGGGCGGCGGCCATCGCGGAGTTCCACCGGGACCAGCTGAAGCGGTTCTCGGCGGACGGCGAGGACGACTCGCCCGGCGGCGCCTCGGCCAAGAAAGCGTCGAGGGCCGCCGAGGAGGCGGACAAGAAGAACCCTGTGATGCTGCTGAACGAGCTGCAGCCGGGCCTGGAGTACACTCTGGTGGCAGAGAACGCGGCGGTTCCCACCCAGCGGTTCACCATGGCAGTGACGGTGGCCAACGGGGACGTGTATGAGGGCTGCGGCTCTAACAAACGGCTCGCCAAGGCGGCAGCGGCCCGCTCTGCCCTGCTCAAGCTCTACAACATCATGGCCAACCCGTCCGGGGTGGTGCACTGCGGGGAGACCGGGGTCAAGGTGGGCACCCTGGCCCAGGCATTGGCGGACCGGCTTGGTGGACGGGTCAACGAGGCCCTGCAGAAGGTGGGTTCCCTTCAATCGTCCGGGGGCGACAGCGGAGGCTGTATGCTGGGTCCGTCAGGGAAGACAATGCTTTTCTTTGTATTCCCGGGTAGATTGTGGACAGCAGAGGGCAACCTCTGTCTCGCTCGTCTGTCCGTCGCAGAAAATAAGGCTTTTCTTTGCATTCCTGGGCAGATTATGTGTCCCAGAGCCCTCCTTCCTTTTGACGTTAATGCCAGCGGCGGTGATAAGGTACAAACTTTTCAGCCTGCGACATTATTTCTTGGACCTAGGGTAAAATACTGAACGAGCGACCATGTGGAAGTTGTAGATAACCACGAAAAAAAAGGGGATGAATGCTGTTTTTATCGGAGGGCAGAAAGCACCTGATAGGGCAATCGATTCAACAGAAGGGCGAAGAAGCAGTACGGGGTGGTGGTAGAACCCTTAATTTTCAAAGCAGCTGTGTTGCTCTCATCGAACCTACTTTCCACCGACGCATTGAGCTTTACCTCTTTGCACGAATGTATGCGTGTAAAGCTTCGCCGCTTTGCATTGGCTTCTCGGAGAAGCGGCCGACAAAGAGAAGCCCCTCAGTTTTCCTCAGTTTGCATTTTCCCCCCAATTACATTTGGAAACAAAAAGACCGCATTCATAAAATGTGTTAGCTCCGATCCAGGGCTGAATTGGGTAAGACGCGTTGCATTATGGGACGCTTCCCATAATGACGTCACGTGATTGAATGTGACGTCACACGAAATGGAGCGGAAATCTTTCCTGCCAAATTTAGCGCTAAAATTTTACCCTTGTGACGTCTAACGTCACGTGACCCTTTCCTCTGTTCTTTCCCCTCCTCCTCAAAAGCTGTGCTCTAATTCGGCATTACAGAGAATTGTAAATGTCTTTTTTTGTTAAGACGGTAACGCGCAAGTTTTCAAACCAGGTTCCTCATGCTGCCCTGAGAATTGGCCGAGCTTCTGAAAATTCCCAGCCGTCTCTGCCCGCAAATAAAGCGTTCTTCCAGCTTAAAGGGAGACACTACCTTGGAATGTCAACTTTTGAACCGCTCACTCAATCGACATGGTATTTGCAGGTGGTGTTTGTAGCCAAGTTGAAGGAAGGCATGCGAAGTTTCAGCCCTGTGAACCAATCTTATGACGTACTGTACCCCCAGAACAAAGTAAAGCACAGCTTTTTATGTAATCTGTTCAATGAATGTACTGTTGAAAAATGGTGTTGATAACCACATATTTTTCTGGTGGAATGCATACTGGAATACCTGTTGCCGGTTGCTATTGGTGAATTCCACTAACAGATCTGGGGAGCTTTCCAAAATCCGTGAGGGAGGCGAAATGTCGCTCCGTGGAACCCGCTCCAAATCGACGTGGGAAAGATGAACTCGCATTTTTGGAGCGACCCACCAACCCGCCCGAGACGGTCGGCTGCTCAAAATGGCCGCTGCTCGAACTTGGCACACCAACCAACGCTTCAACCAACTCATCTTTTCGGCAACCATTGACAACTGTCGCTGCTTAGCTGTGGAAATAACACGCGACACGGGCCGGCCAAAGATATCCATACTACGGAGCCCATGTCACAAAAAGCGATGAAAAAGCCCGCATTCGCCACCGTCGCATACCTTTACGCCACCTTGAAGCGGTGGGGCACGCACAGCGATTGGTGGACTTCAAACTTCTGGTATGACTGTAATAAGCACAAAGAAGTAACAAGTCATCACTTGCACGGTCATTGCCTAATCTGTTCTTGCTTTATTGCACGAGAAAACACCGGCGGCATGCAGTGTAAGAAGGTAAACAATCAGTGGCGGCAAAATGAACAGGCCTAACCTTTCGTCTGCCTCCTTCAGATTTTCTGTCATTCTTTTTCTCATTCTTCCTCTCACGATCACAGATATCAGCGCTTACGATGTGCCACGCTTCAGTTTTTGACTTCGCATCTCTGATCTACATGAGGTTGAAGTGTTGGAGCCGTCACAATCCCGCATAGACAACCAGATCCAACTCGACGGCGCTGCCGGTCCGGCAACCTCGCCACACATGCACACCGCCGAGTGAAAGGAAATGACATAGCACGCTTCTGTCAACTTCTGCCGAAATCCCTAAAATCCCGCGGATCAAGTTCGGCGGGTTTGGAGGTGCCCCACGGTGCAGGCGCTGCCACAAATGGGAGATGATTAACTTGAGCCGGATCTGCCAGCGCAAGAGGGTGGCTCCAAAAGGGGCACTTTTGGAGCGCCCAAAATCTGCAAGTCCCCGCAGGGGGCACCTGTGAAAGCAGGTGTTTGGAGAGTGGCGTCTCCACGGACCCCGAGCCATGCGGGTTCGCCCGCCCACGTATGGCTGTGCGTGGCTTTCCCGTGTCTGGGCCCCGCAGGGGGCACCTGTGAAAGCAGGTGTTTGGAGAGTGGCGTCTCCACGGACCCCGAGCCATGCGGGTTCGCCCGCCCACGTCTGGCTGTGCGTGGCTTTCCCGTGTCCGAGGAAAAGGGCATCCTGGTGGTTGAGCCGAGCCCGGGGTAGGTTTGGACCCTTCGGGGCCCCCCGGGTGAGGCAATACACCACTTCGGCCCCTGCTTCTCGTAGACGGGAGTCCTGGTAAGGCCCGGCCAGGATGATTCAGCCTAGTCGCCTTTTCTTCTACTATCCCCTCCGATCTTTCACTTTTACCTGTCCTGTTTCCTTCTTTTCCTTCTCATTTCTCTTGCTCCTTTTTCTTCCCTCTTTGGCGGCAAGGGCTAACCTTGGGTGGCAATAGACCTCTTGTCTGGACCCACACTAGGTTATAGTGTCTTGGTAGCACTGATAGCGTAATGTCGTCAGCAAAACCCTTATTGCTATGGCGCATTACCTATCCCCATGTTGGGCTCCGTGGTGGGTGGTGCGCTACAGATGCCGAACGCCTTCCCATTTCTTATGGGTTCTAAACTAAACCAAAAACCTGATCGGGCCCTGAAAAGGGTCCGGACCGAAGTACACGTCAGAGAAGCATTTGCACCCGTGGAAAAGTTTCCCCGATTTCTCGTCATGCATTCCGAAACGGAAAAACCTTTATCCAAGTTATCCCCGTTCCTGGTCTCTAAGACTCTTGAATCTGTAATCGGAAAAAATTTTAAAGCAAAAAAAATGCCATCTGGAGATCTCCTCGTTGAAGTTGTAACCGCTCAACAAAGCTTAGACCTGCTGGCACTCAACGTGGTGTCTGACTACAGGGTTACTGTATCACCCCACCGCACTTTGAACACTATAAAAGGCGTAATATCAGAAGATGACCTGCTAGAATCCCCCGAAGATGAAATTGTCGATGGCCTTCGTGACCAAGGAGTCATTGCTGCCAAACGAATTTCTTTTCGAAGGGACGGCCAAGAGGTGAAGACAAAGCATGTCATTCTGACTTTTGAGCTGAGGGCGCTTCCGGAATCAGTGAAAGCCGGATATCTGAACTGTAGAGTACGGCCATATGTGCCAAACCCTCAGCGTTGCTTTCATTGCCAGAGATATGGCCATAGCGCCCAGAGCTGCCGTGGGAAGACAACATGTGCCAAGTGTGGCAAAAATGATCACCCTGCAGAGAATTGCTCTAATGCACCTTGCTGTATCAACTGTGGTGAACCTCACCCTGCTTATTCCCGATCGTGCAAAAAATGGAAACAAGAAAAAGAAATTATAACACTCAAAGTGAAAGAGAACATCTCATTCCCCGAAGCCAGGAAGCGATTCTCCTTCCTGCAGAAGGGTTCTTACTCTTTGGTGGCACGTGCAGGGGGTGTGCCATCAAAGTCTTCGGTAGGAATCCAGGTCTGTCCTAATGACCTGGTGATTCCACCACCTCCCCCTGCCTCACAAAGATTCGCTCCACGACTCCGTTTGTCGTTGGAACCGAAGAAACCACAGGGGCCTCCAGATGGTGCAGAGGCAAGAGATGCCTCTGTGCCAATGGATGGGAGACAAGAGGAGAGGCGGCAACACCAGCCTCAGGGAGAAGGCACTAGTGCCTCTTCCATTCTAAAGGACGGGCCATCGAACGATGTGCCTGCCTTGGTCACTCGGACCCCTCCCAAGAAGAAGGAGGGTAGTTTTCGTTTTAAGGCTTTAGGAGAGGCCTCGACACGTAAGGAGGTGCCCGTACCAGCTGCTCCCTCAGCCGTTCCGCCTGAGGAGGAGCGGATGGAACTTGGTGAATCTCCTCCTCCTTGTTCGGTCCCACCTGATGACGCAAGGCTTATTACAAAGTCATCCCAGAAAAAGCTCAATCCGCGAGTAACCCCACCCAAACCGCCCCAGGGCACTTAGGGCAGGTTTCCTTTTTTCTTGTGTTGTTACTTTAAACCGTTTTTAACATGAACTCATATAGTTTTATACAGTGGAACTGTAGAAGTCTTCTGCAAAATATTGATGACATTCATTTCTTTCTGGATGAGCTACAGCCCATTGCTGTGTGCTTGCAGGAGACATATCTTAACAACACCCATACAAATGTTTTTAATCGTCACCGCGTTTTTAGAAAGGATCGGGATTCAGACCACTCTTCAGGTGGTGTTGCCATTGTTGTACGGAGTGGCATAGCATGTGTGGAAGTTCCTTTGCGTACATCACTAGAAGCTGTTGCGGTACGTGTTCTTGCTGATCGTCTCATTACGGTTGTGTCCTTGTATTTGCCACCTCATCGTCAACTGCATCTTCATGAACTTCAAGGATTGGTTCAGCAACTCCCAACGCCTTTTTTAATTTGTGGTGATTTTAATGCTCACAGTCCCATGTGGGGCAGTAAGCGCCTTGACTCTCGTGGCACTGTTGTAGAAAGATTTTTATTGTCCTCAGACGTATGTCTTTTAAATAAGAAAGAACCAACGTTTTATAGTTCCACTCATAATTGCTTCACATCCATCGACCTCTCCATTTCATCACCTTCATTACTTCCCTGCTTTTCTTGGAAGGTTTTAAAGAACCCTTTTGGGAGTGATCATTTCCCGGTTGTAATTGAAAGCCTTGTTCCTCTGCCGT